AGAGTCACAACCCACAGGAAGGAGCCAGCTCCCTAAAAGCCATCTCCACCCCACCCTTTATTATTAGATGGGCAAGCGGAATCAGGTGAACTGAGGCTGGAAAGTCAGATCAGGTCCCTAAAATAAGAGGGAAAGAGGGTTTATTCCGCCCGAGCTCACTGTGACCAAGCCTGCCCCCACCCCAACCTCGGCTGCCGGCTCACTCCCTCCTGGCCTAGGCCCTGCTCACCTTCCAGCACTACCCTCCAGCTGGCAAAAAAGACCCTGCTGAGCGGAACACGGGGGTTGGGCTGCATAGGCCGGTACCGATGGTCCAGGCGGAACATGAAGGGTTGGATGAGGGTGTGGCCATAGCGGAAGGCGTTGGTGAAGACATTGGAGATGCGAGGGTCCACCGAGTCATTGTAGGATCTGTACTTGGGCAGGTACTTCCTCATGGCCTCTGGCCCCAGCACCAGGGGCAGGTAGTCCCGGTAAGTGATGATCTAAACAAAAATCACCCCTCCCTGCAGATTCTCCGCCTGCTCCTGGCTCAGGGATCCCTTCCTCCCCTGTAGCCAGGGATTTGCCTCCCACAGCACTGGATCTGGGTCTCACAGAGTGGCACCAAGAGGCAAAGACAGGGCTCTACTGCCTGCCTGCTGTGTGACTCTGGGCCAATTATTAACCACTCTGAGCCCCAGTTCCTCAAATGTAAATTAAGGGTAATTAAGCTGCCCTCTGCCTTAGAGGATTAAATGACAAAAGGCTTCGTTAGTCCCTGCAATAGCTCCCTTGCCCTGGAGTTACTAATGTCTCATTTCTCCTACTAACTTATAGCTCATTGAGGACAAGGGTTGTCTCTCATTTCTCTTGAAATTACTCAGTGCCCAGCAAGTGCCTGGCTCACAGTGGGGTTCAATAAATTGTCTGTAGAAGGAGGAAAGGCAAGAAGGAAGAGTCTCCCTAGGTGACTTCTCCCAGTGAAAAGGGCCATGTCCTGGATGACTTCTCCCAGAAGAGATGAAACAGTCTCACTCTAGATTCTAGACTCTGGAATGTCCTCTGAGGCTTAAACAAATCTCACTCAAGTTCTTAATGCAAATCAAAAATGCACCAACGGCCCTTGCAACTCTCTCCCCCACAGAATCTAGGAATAGTAACAAGGTGGGGGCCGGGGCGGTGTGTGTGTGTTTGTGTTTATGGCTTCAGGAGAGGATGGGCGTGCTGAAGCAGCACAAATTGGAGGAGGGACCCAGGAACACTGCCCAGGGACAAGCAAGGATAAGCGTCGTGGTCCACAGTGGGACAGTCCGTGATGGGCCGGTGACACGGGTTGGTAAAAGAGTTTACCAGAGATGAGGGAGGAAATGG